TGATTTCAGCTGGTATTACAAGTTGACTACCAGTTATGAATCCACCACAGATGGATTGTTAAAATATGATTCTGTTTCTCCTCCATATAAATTTTTCCTGGCCTTGAATAAACAAGTTTTCACATTAGGCTGCTCTTTTGGAAAGATAAGTCATTGAGATTTGGAGGGAAAAAGAAAGTCCATCTAAATTTCCTTCTCTTGTTTAAGATCAGCAACTTGTCAGTTGAGGTTTTTTGCTCTGGGTGATCCATGAGACAATTTGGTAAATAAAACTCATTCAAACTTATTTTTGCCTCTTTTTTCCTTCTGTAGTAACCCTTAATACAACCACAGCAGGAAAACCCTATTTACCTTCCGATGACTGTAGTAATGGTTTTCCCCTTACTTTTCCTAGAAGGGGTGCAGCAGATAAAGAGATGCCTATTTCCCCTCTACTGAAAGTGTGAACCATGAGAAAAAGGAGTATCTGGAAATAACCAGTTCTGTATTTTTGTCCCAGTTCTGCCACCTGCAGGCTCTGGCAAGTGTCTTAACCTCTCTGTGCTACAGTCAGTCCTGGGTCTCTTTAATTCAATACACTATGATTTCCCTGAGGGCATGATATATAGCTTGTCTTTATATTACTTGACATAACAGGAGCAAATTTAGTAAATATTTGAGAACCATAATTCTAAATGTTGCTGAAACACTGTCACATACACACATCTATCACTAAAAAATATCACTTGGTGGAGTGCCAGATATATGCCTTGCATTCCTTAATCTAATCAGCATAATGCCACAGTGGCAGCTGTTATTATCATTGCAATTTTGCAGATGAGAAAATTGAGGTGCAGAGAGATGAAGTGATTCACTTCTTTGCTAGCTGATAACAAAGCCAGGATTTGAATTCAGGGCTGTTTCTGTTCTTTTATTGGTCTGTATTTAGGATGTATGTCCTAATATTTTATCACTGTAAAGGGCTTAGACTTTTAACAGTAGTGACCAAAAAAGTTACTTTGCTCTAAGAATAAGATGAAGCCATTGATTCTGGAAAAAGGAAGCTCTGATAAGGATTGATTGGTGAGGAGCCCGATCTTGTCCTTGAGATGTTTTTTCCCAGGAACCTCCCGTGTCCCCCACATACTTGACCTAGCCTCGGCTGGTACACCCCATTCTTGGGTGGAGAAGTTCCATTTTGCTTACCCACCTAGAGACCTCAATCCAGGTCAGCACAGTACGGAGTCTGTGTATTTGCCCTGCATTTGGCTCGAGTATATCTCAGGAACAGAACATGCCTTTTCCTTGCCTTCTGGGGACTTATATTCTGGCAGGGGACATGAAGATACAATTTCATGAGGAGGCAATTATAGAAACTGTATAAATTCATGCAATTGCACAAAAAGACCTTGGATCTGGTTAATTTGGCCTTTGTGTAGAGCAGTTTGGTCTGGGGAAGGGACCAGCCTAACAAGGCCTTCGCAGCTAGAGAGAGCATTTTAGATTTAGAAACAATCCTAAATCCAGAGGATTGTGATACCCTGGCCCTCAATTCATCCCCTTTCCTACCCTAGTTTTCATTCAATAAGACCATTTATGCACTCTCTGTTCTAATGTCAGATACCTTATCTCCTGCCTCCTGTACCCCCTGTAGTGTTTTCTGGGGTTCAGACTTCCCAGGACCCCGACACCTATGAGGTAATGGTAGTACTTTAGTAACTGAAGGACTGTGTGACACACTTGATTAGATCACATTTGGCCTCAGAAATAGCAGTATCACCTCTGGGAGTGGCCAGGGAATGTAGATATTTTTACTTAGTAACAGTTGGATACTTCACAATGGGTAGCTGTGATACTCATTTAACATGCTTCCCCTCCCAAACAAAGAATGTCTCAAGTGACTTTTAGTTAGTCATCGTGTTTCCTTTTAACCTTCCCATAGCCAACAGTAAGCAAATTCTCTACATATTTTCCTTAAATCTTTTATGGAAACCCCTGGTTAAAATTCATCCTTCCTCTTTCTCCTCCTCCTCTCCTGCCCTTCCTGCCTCCCTTCCGCCCTTCCTCTGTTTTCTTTTCTCTTTCCCTCTTGTTCTCTCTTGTGCATTGTTGAAAGGTTTGATTAATGTTTCCAGGAAAAAAAGTAGATTAGTTTTTCTTACCCCTTAATTAGCATTACTGCAGAGGGAGGCAGAAGCTGGCACCCATTACAAGAAGGCCTGGGACAATGCTTCACTTCCGTCTGTGACACCCCCATCCTCCCGCCATGAACTGGAGCTGATAGTTACAGGGTACCTTACTTGCATTTAGCCTTCCAGCTGGTCTTATTACTGTGTTTGCAGCTACAGATAGAAATTCTTCTATTTTTCCCAGTGCTAGAAGAGGTCTCTCTAAATGTCCTGCCTATTGTCCCCAAAGCAAAAATATTCCTTACGCTGTCAATATTGTATGCGTAACTTTTCTTGACTTTTTTTTTTCTTCCTCCAGGTTTTGCAAAGTAACTCTGAAACTAACTTCTGTGGTGAAGTGTATCTGCCTAAGGGATGTTTTTTACCCTAAATAACAACTCCCCTAAGTACTCAACACTTGCTTTTTGCAGAGCTGTGCTGTTGTTTATTTGGGACTGATGGAGTGTCAGTCCTTTCTGCCAGAAACAGAAATGCTAATGAGGGCTCTGGCATGATAGGACAGGCTTACATTTTTTTGAGGCTCAGGAGGACAATGGTTTTGCTGAGTTTTGTTTTTGTGGGCCCTATAGGAGATGGGGTCTGTAAGAAACTCTGGCAGTCAGGACAGCATTGTAATGGAGCCCAATCGGAGTACATTTTCCACCAAATTACATTAGCATATAAAACATAGATTATTGATTTTTTCTCTACTTGTCATGGTTTCTGGGATAAAGTCCATTTTGTAGTAGCAAAGAGAATATATACATACTTGAGAATAGTTTATTTTATATTTTTCTTAGCTTTAGAGACTGGTGACACAACTCCGGGCGGTAGTATGATTTTGCATTTTGATTTTTTCTACCCAGCACCACCGTAGGGCTCCACTTATATCTTTGGTGGTACAGTCCTTCCCTTCTAGTCCAACTGGGGAAGCCTGAAGGGACAGAGAACCAACTGTAGGGGCAACAGAGTCCCCGTTGCTTAAGCACCTCCAGTTCAGGCAGTAGATACACTAGTATATGTACACTGTCTCCTTTGGGACATAATATCCTCAGTTTGCAAATGAGGAAATTGTAGCTTACTGAAGCTTAGTGACTTATTCCAGGTCACTCAGAAGTGTGTATAATTCATGGCTATTTCCTTAGAATGCAAGTTGGCAGTTCTTGAAAGTTTAAACACAGAGTTACCATATAACCCAGAAATTCTACTGTTATGTTATGTACCCGAGAAAATTAAAAACATATGTCTACACAAACTCTTGTACATAGATGCTCATAGCAGGATTAGTCCTAATAACCCCAAAAGTCATCAATTAATGAATGAGTGAATAAAATGAAGTCTAATGCAATGAAACAATATCCGGTAGTAAAAAGAAGTAAAGTATCCATGGATGCTAAGCTGAGATGAACTTTGAAAACATTATGCCAAGTAAAAGAAGTTAGTCCAAAGACAACATATTACTGGATTCTATTATATGAAATGTTCACAATACATAGAATACAAGTTTGTGGCTGCCAAGAGCCAGGGGAAGAGAGGGTTTAGGGCAAATAGGGAATAACAGCTAAAGATCCAGGTTTCCTTTTTGGGTGATGAAAAATTTCCCAGAATTGATTCCATGTTTGGTTCTGAACTAGTTTCTAGATTCCAAATTGGCTCTAAACTTGATTGTAGTGATGGTTGAATACATTGAAAATGATTGAACTGGACACTTTAAGTAGGTGCATGGTATGATGTATGAATTATATCTCAATAAACTTATTTAGAAAAGTTAGTAGCTGCTGTCTTTGCCCTTATAGAGGGAAGCAATGGCTACTCAGACGGGAGGGTAACTTGATGTGCTCCTAATGACAGAATCTTAAATGGCAGCAGGAGCAGCAGTCATATTTAACTTTTATCAAGCATTTCCTCAATGCTGGGCACTGAGCTGAGCACTTTCTCTCTCTAACTAATTTAATCGTCACACTAAGCCCTGGAGCTCAGTGTTGCTGTTAGTCTCATTTTCCAGAGGAGGCAACTGAGATTTAGAGAGGCTTGGTGATTTTCTTAAGGTCACATAGCTAGTAAGTAGTACAGCTGCCTTCTACTGACTCAAAACCATGGAAACAGCTGTGTTTGTTTAAGCCCTAACATCATATAGTGGTTGTTAAGATAGTAGATCTGTAATTATCTGGATTCTGTCTAATGGATCTTGTGTAAAACATGTATATTATAGATAGTATAGGTCTGCAATGTCCCCCAAAGGCCTTACATATTTAGAGGTGGGACTTTTGGAAGGTAGAATATACGGGTGCTGCAGCTGAATTCAGTTACCAGGTGGGGTCTCACTGGAAGGGGCAGGTCACGGAGAGTGTGATACTAGAAGGCTGCATCCTTCCTTGGATGCTCCTTTCCCTCTCTGCCTTATGGCTGCCATGACAGGAGCAGCTTTCTTCTGCCGAGGCCCTTCCACTGTGCAGTTTCTGCCTTGGAACCAGCTGACCGCGGGTTGAAATCGTGAGCCCTAATCAAACTCTCCTCCTTTAGGTTGTGAGTGTTGGGTGTTTTGTTCTGGTGCCAAGGAAAGTGACTAAGATAGTGAGCCAGTTGTTCAGACTCTACCCCAGCTTCTTCGTCTGTATGAGGGATAATAGTCCTCAGCTCCAGACTGAGTGAAGATTGGTGACGGGAGTGGAAAGCCGCCAGAAGTGTTCACCACTGTCATGGTTTATGTGTGTGCCCCCCAGGCCTCAGGAGCTTGCATTGTATATTTGTGATGGTTCATTGTCTAGTGCTTGATAGTGTCAGTGCTCCACCCACATAGGGGTGGAGCCAGGATGTGATGTAATGGCAGGAAGAAGGTGTGTTTTTCTCTTTGCTGGTCTGAGCTTGCTGTCGACGGCTGCCATGAACTGCGGTCCAGCCATGCCCGCCTGCCTTGGAGCCAACTGAGTGTGGACTGAAACCTCCAAAAACTGTAAGAAATAAACCTTTCCTTTCCCAACTTGGGCATCAGGTATTTTGTCTCAGCGACGAGCATAAAGTAACTAAGACAACCACACATGACTATGACTAGGTACAATCTCTGTTGGAGGATGGGGATACAGAAGAGATGCATCACATGCTGTAGATCAGCTACAGTCTCGTGGGGGAACATAGACAGGTATCACTGAAATAGGGAATGATGGTGAAAAGAGGTAGGGGCAGGGCACGGACACAGAGGCAGGGAGAGGACTGGATCGTTAGAGCTGCTCTAGTGTTCCAAGCCTTTGGCCTTTAAGACTCCAGTATGGGGACGTTTGCAAGAACTGAATTTTCTTCTTTAAGGTTCCAGGCAAACATAAGAATTATGAAATCTGGCTGGGAAGTTTCATAATTGTGTTTTTCCTGACAGCTTGGTGAAAATTAAACACTTGAAAGGGCAGAGCAGAGGGAGTAGAGAAGATCTTTTATTTGGGCTTCTTGAATATTTATCAGGAGTTAGATCCTTAGGCTAATATAATAGAAACTTGATCAGGAGATGAAAAGTCTTGAAAGAGGAGGGCATGAGGTGTGTTCAGCCTCTGCGCCAGTGTTTTTTCCCTTTTATTCTCATCACACTGAACCTTTGCACTAACTAGGTTGGAGATTAGCTACTGATGCATAAGAACTGTAGCATTTGCAATAAACATGTCTCTGTATGTGTTGTATGTAAATGTTTTATATTATACATCACATATATATGAAAGGAGAGGGGGAGAACGAGAGCAAAAGAGAGATAGAGACAGAGACAGAGAGACAGAGACAGAGAGAGGAGAGAGACAGAGAAAGAGAGGGGAGAGAGAGAGAGAGAGAGAGAGAGAGAGAGAGAGAGAGAGAGAGAGAGAGAGAAAGAGAAAGAATGCACAACCAGGCTTCCAAATCTGAAGGAGCAGAGGAAAAGCAAAAACAAATGCACAACCTAGCTGGTACATTGAAGGTAACTTCTAATGACCTTTAGATTCTGGGTTTAAATTTACCCTCCAACAGCATAATCAAGAAAGTAATAAAGGAGACTTCCTGTGCCAGGTATTGACTCCAGGCAATTGCCGTTTCTTGTGGAGAATGAGGAGACTTTGGAGTACCACCCTTGACCCGAGCTTCCACCCTGGCCGCATGTTAGAATCACCTGGGGAGCTTTTGGAACACACAGCTGCCGGGCTGGAACTCACCCCAGACCAATCAAGCCAGCGTTTCTGGGCTAGGGCCTGGGCATTGGTACTTTTAAAAGATTTCCCAGGTGATTTTACTAGAAACAGGAACTAAGAAACCCTGGATGGACCAGGGCATTTGTGGATGGGAAGGCTGTGACATCTGCCGGCAGCCTCAGTACATAGCTGGCTGAGGTCAACAGCTGGTGTCACCTGAATGAGTGTAGAAACTCCTACTTTCTCCTTTTAGATATCCAGGCTCATTTTTTCCAAGACCTCTCTGAGCTTACACTGAAGATGTCTGAGTACAAGGGCAGTGGGGTGTCTGCAAACGGAGGCTGCAGAGGAAGGAGTGGGCTTTAATAATTGAAACAGCCACTGCACTTTCAAGTATTAAAGTTCTATAATTTTGAAATGTCACGTCGTCTGAGACTTAGCAGGGAGAGAACACGGTGGGAGCCGGAAGCCCTCAGCCTCACCTCATGGAAGGTGCAGGGTTGGGTCGGCAAAGCCCTCTCTGCTGATTGCAGGGGCAGCCCTGTTCTCCGGAGACCTGCTCCTGCTGCACTGCACTCAGGGCTCCCTGCCGATCTTTGGTGAGACCATTAAGATGATCAAAGAGTCTCTGGAGAGTTTGTGGAGTGTGACTGTGACCATGAGGGTATATTTTATTTTGCTCTCAACCAAACCGTTGAGGGAGGATTCTCTTATATTTTTCACCAGGAAGAAGGTTCAGTCAGCCAAACAGCTCTGAGTGCATTTCCAGTTAGCAAACAGCATCCCAGAAAAATCTACCTGGGCTTTCTAGGAGCGGCACATTTCTTTGGAGATCTAAGCTCTCCCTTGGGCGAAGGATGTCACTGGGCCCCATTCGGAGTTTGGGCAGGAATCTAGGCTCAGGAAGGCACACTGTTACTGTACTTGAATCAAGAGAATGAGATTACCTGCCTTAGCTCCCCTCCAAAAGGCATCTGAGTAAATGCTCCTCTGCTCTCTTAGCCTGCCTCCCCTTCAGGAACTTTCCACAGCTCTCCCCGAAGCAGCTTCCTGTCTTGTTTCCCTCTTCTCTCTACAATCCCGCCTCTCAACCATGTGCACTTGATACAATCTTGCACACAGGCTTATTTGTTATTGACCAGCTTCTCTATCTTGGAGAGTATGTCACAGTAGTCAAGACTATAGCTCTTGATGGTAGTTTCAGAGATTTAAGATGAAGAAATAGGATTCATATAGTTCTGGAGTCAGGAAGTATGATAGCCAGCCAGCGAAAAAGCACAGGACTGTAGGAGAGTAGAATTTTACTCACTGGAGCTGGCTTGGATTTTAGATATGAAACATTTGATTTATAGTTTCTATTTCGCTCTGATAGAAAACTCTGCTTACCCTTATTGGAAGGTCGAATGTGTTGGGTTCTTCAGCTAAGGTAGCTGTTAAAATTTATTTCACATTCAAGGAAAGGGGCTCTTGTTATTCACCATGTTCTCATTTTAATTATGATTTTCCTGGCATCATTTTTAACAAGAATAACCTAAGGCCTGCAAGGAGTGATTTCCCCTAATCAGTTCTAAAGCCCAACCTACCCCCTCCAAGGACTGCTTTAGCTGGCTACACAGATGAAATGAAACGGAGAACTGAGCAATTACCTGGTGAATCTGAACAATGTAGAGTCAGCAGTCGATTAGAATAGTTCAATTACAAAAATCCTCTTTTCCTTTTTTTTTTGCTATACAATTATGACCTTAACTCTTCCTACTCCTGTCCTGCCCTGAAGATTCCTTTCTCATCCTCTGCCTCTGCTGACCCCAAAGCTCTCTGGTGGATGGTTTGGCTGAGCCCTTCTCTTGTCTTCTTTCAGGGAGAGGCTCAGATTCCTCTTCTAATTGTGGGCTCAGGATATTGCACCCCCACCCCAGGTGAGACTGGCCCTGAACTCCCACATCTTTGCCTAGATCTCCCCCTTAGAACCTGCTGCATCTGAGCTCCTGAGTCCATGCTCCACTTAGCCTCCCAGGTGTGGGCCTAGGCTTGTGCTCTGCCTTGTTCTGTGACTCTCTGTGCATCTTGTCTCCTCAGATCCATTTGCTAGGGACAATGCTTATTCTTGCCAGCAGCCTCACCAGGGACTGATGCCTGATTCCACCCAGTGAGCTGAGGGGCTGTGCTAGGCACAGAACTCACATGTTGGGGCACCAGCGAAACAGGCGTCTAAAGAGCATTCTGCTCCCTGCCAGTTGGGGCTCCAAGGGCTTCCTCTCCACCACAGTGAAGCACTTTTCTGGGTATTCACTAGAAACAGTCTCTTCCATAGTAGCAGCTTCTGCCACTCTCTTATGTGATTGAATCCCCTGATTGAGGCATCAAATTCCTTCAGTCTGGCACATCTTGTTGGGAATGCGAACCATAACACCACATACTAATTCACTCGTTCAGCATGTGTGGGTTAAGCATTGACTGTGTGTCGGGTACCCTGCTACATACCGGGGCCTTGGAGTTAAACAACATAGACAGATATGTTCATTGGTTAGTGCTGATGAAACAAAGTGCCACAGAAATGATGGCTTGACAAAAGAAGCTTGTGCTTTCACAATTTTGGAGAGAAGTCCAAATTTAAGTTTCAGGCAGGACTGGTAATTCTGAGGAAGGATCTGTTTTAGGATCCTCTCCTAGGTTGTGGATGGTATCTTTTCACATCATCTTCCCTCTATGTATGCCAGTGTCTGTGATCTAGTAACTCTCTTTTTATAGAGATGTGAGTCACAGTGGATATGGGCCTGTCCTACTCAAGTGTGATCTCATCTTAGTTATGTCTGCAATGTCCTTATTTCCCAGTTAGATCACATTCTTGGATTTCAGTGTGTAATTTTTAGGATTTCGGTTTATAATTTTTGGGAGACTTGGTTCAGCCCATCGTTTTGTAGGGTATATCATTTTATGGGCAGTGACGTGATGAGAATGTGTCTGTACACTGTAGACCTAGTCTGGGCATGGTTCATGTTTCAGGGCAGATACATACTTAGGAAAGTTAGTATAACTATGTTCCAGAAACTTCTGTATTTGTTGAAAACTAACTATGTGCTGAACATTCCAGTAATTTACGTGTTAATACAATCCTGGGAAGAAATTGAAGCATAGACAGGTTAAGTAAGCAGCCCAAATTTATAAAGTAAGGGACAGAAAAGTAGAGCAGGTATATCTTATAGGGACTAAATTATATCTTCTGTTTGCACCTCCCGGCAATCTTGGCTTTTGTCTACTGAGGATCTGTCCACTGACTAAGACTGGACCTTACAGGCTCCAATTCACGTGGATTACCATGTAGGGAAGCTCCCTTAGGTGGGCAGTGTAGAAATGTGATTGCTCTAAGCCTCCTAATCCTCATGAGCTGAACTTCTGCCCCAACATGGAGTGATTCATGGCACCCTTCTGTGAATCTAGGTTCCCTTTATTGCCTTGGTTGTATCTTTCAAATACAATTACCTCATTCATCTGCTGACTCACTTATTATTATTATTATTTTTTTTTTCAGGAAAGTGTAACTCCCATGAAAAGCAAAAACCTGTCTGGTCTTTTTTAGGGCCTCACTGCCATTGCCTAGCACCCTGCCTGACCCACGGAGGCATTACAGAAAGACCTTTTGGTAAATGGATGGTGCTACAGATAAAGCAGATTTTTTGGGAGGCTTCTCATAGATGAGATTTTATGTTTTCAAGAAGCTCTAGGCACAAACATGAAAAATGACCATTAAATAACTGAGTAAAAAGGAGGCATTTAAAATGTCATGGCTGATCCCTAGCACAGTCCTATAGAA